GCCACCAAATTTGTGGTGCTTTCCAGAGAATGTTTAGGTACAATTCCAGGGTTGTCAGAATGATTTATTTATTTTAACTCTTGACCGGATAGTACTTTGCCTTTTAAAAGTCCAGAATAACCGGACTGGCAGCTCAAAGAAATAGACTTAAAAGTTTCGCTTTTTATCCACGATGAAAAACATGCGCTACGCAGCACAGTTAAGGCTGCAATAAGGAGGCGGGGCCTAATTTATACGGGAAATGCTTACTATGACATCACACAAAAATATAAGTTCTTCAAATTACCACAAAATGAAATGATTTGCTATTTTAAACTGTTGAATATCTCTAAACTACATCAATACTAACTAGTGCATGTATTATTGTCATTGGTTAAATCCCACACAGCAATATATAAACAATTCACTGATCGCAATGCACTTGTCAATGTGACGTCATATCGTAAAATTTGACGCAGTCTGTATGCAGTGAGAGGCGGATCAAGTTATATTTATACAGTGAAAAAATGTATTTTGTAATTAAATAAAATATAAATTGTAGATATATAAGAGGTCAATAACTTGGATGCGATGTCTATTTTATGATTTTATTCATATACTTCCTGAACATTCCCTAGACAAGCGATACTGTCGTATATTTGTATGCAGATGCATTGAAGGGTAATAAAAGGGTCGTAATAAATCGATGTATTGCAAGGGCATACCCTCAATGAATTATGACAAGCTTTTACACATAAACTTAAGAAGTATAAAGATATTTGAAAAGTGCTGCGAACCTGTTGAAATCTTGCAAATGAATTAATTATATCTATATTTAATGTACTTGGCCAGCAAAATATTCAACAAACGGTCTAACAAATGTAATTTTAGCAAATAGATAGTAGGATCTACATAGGTTCGCAGCACTTTTCACAAACTACCAAGAGTGTTGAAAATAATCATATGTTAAACTTAGATTTTTAACTTGGTTATGCCCTTGCAATATTAGAATTTATAGATGACCTCAATACTTCAGGTATATTTGCTAAAATCACGTGACAAGTCTAAATAAGAAATCTAATCGTCCTCAACATGTAGTTTTCAACCACATTGCATTTGTCCGATAATAGTAAAATCCTAAAAAGAAACGTCCATCCTTGTAAAGAATGTATTTTCTATCTAAAAAAAATTTGCTGATATTTCCATTTGGCACCTTAACTGTACTGCGTAGGTTAGAAACCAACGGAGAAACTTTTGGTGCCTCCAAATAAAACGATAAGTACAAATTTAATTTTAACATGACTGTAAACATTTAACATCCAAGAACCTTAGACACTCAAATAAATATCACAATCCGACATTATACATTAAAACGTCAGACGAAAATAAACAATGACTTGACTTACAGCTCTAGCGCGCCATATATTTAAAATTGTTCATGGTAAAACGGCTGATTACAAGTGATAAGGTAATGGAGATGAAAACTTTAGTTATCGACATGAAATATCAGTATTGATCCATATCTCTTTAACAATGAAATAAAAATAGCTCGTGTATGTGTAAAAAAGTTGTGAATTAACACATTCATTATATATTTACAAACTTGGCCACATGTTGAGAACAGGAGTTTTATGAATATTACAAAACCAACTGATAAAAATAAATTTAAAATCAAAATGTGTTAAAAATCCTTCTGGTTCTAAGCAGACAACCCCTGAACTTGATATTAAACGGATGCATTGGCAATATCTATTTTGTTTTGGAGGACCAGGTCTTTCGGCAATCTAACTGATCCCTTTTTAAGTCAACCTGTTTTTATACTAGTATTCTCAAGATGCAGAATTTATTATTTTAATATCATGTATAGCCGAATGGAATAAATAATGATTTTTCATCGCTAATTTCCCATAGCAGTAATATTTTTCACTTTAAACTTCACTTTGTGTTAAGTACGCAAATTTGAAATTTTGAAACCGCTGACAAATAGATGATACCAAAATTTCATTTGAAATGAGCATTTTTCTAAATCCTAAGATCGTTATAATCATCCTGATTGCAAATACAACCCATTGCTGGGTCGTTTTTTGACTGACATGAATCATATAAATTGTAAAAAAAAAAAAAAATGTTTAAACTAATTTTGATTACGGACTACTCAAGTTTACTTGATCAATACAAGCATTTCAAAATGAATGTGAATAGTCGACAGGTGATGCTTTCTTTCCTCAAGCACTTGATCCTACCTCTTGTGTTTCCAGGGGTATATATTTTTGTCCTCTTCACGATTCGTATTGTACGGGATCTAATTAGAAAATGATCATTATTTTTTCTTTTCGCCTTTTTCATTGTAATTATTCAAAGAATTGGCACATTTTGCTGTTCTTATTGTATTGTAGGAGTAAATAAATTATATGAATAAAAGAATGGATAATAAGGAAGCATGGTAACATATTAAGAACTAAGTGCCTCATTTTGAAATTATTTTGTAAAGCTAATTTATCTGGAATGATCAATGTTAGTATTCTCTGCTGTGAAAGGTCCCCATAATATGCGAAGACTATCTCCATTGTTAAGTTAAAAACCAAGCTGATTTTTATAGATGATCGTTGGTATATAGTATAATTCTTTTAGATAAGGTGTTTAAGAGTACATTGTATCAATATGATTTATCACAATTTACAAGATATTGAGGTTTTTGTAATAGTAAAACCACCTGTACATTATTATTCTGTGTGTAATACTTGTCAATTTATGTCCCCATATTCATTAAACAGATCAGCCAAGAATGTTTCAAGATTATTTTCTTTTTGTTAAATAATTTGATATGCCTTACCTGACAAGTGTTTATATAACCTCATCCTATCAAATCTAATATCCAATTTGTTTTACGGATTTTTTTTATTTTGTGCTTTATCAGTTACAAAGTTTAAAGCTTAATTTATTATTTATTAACGTTTATGGCAGTACTGGTTTTAACTGCTTTTAATGGGCAAACAGAAACGACTTCTGCCTTGTCTGAATATATTGAATGCATTTCCATGCCATTGTCATATACAATAAAGTAAATATGGATACACACAAATGACGTTGTCCTGTAATTATTTATAGACTAAAGTGAAAAGAATAGTACGTACATTTAGGACAGATGCTGCAAACAAACTTTTTAAAAGTGTTATCAAGGTAAATACAGGTAGAATAAATATATATTAATGAGTTTCATTTTTCATTCAAAGTTCAATAATATCCTAAAATGTGATTTTAAAAATGTAGGTGATGGCAAAAAAGAGGACATTTGAACATTATAAAAAGTCTGTATTTTCGCATACATTTACACATGCAATTTCTATCAATATACTTTTTTCTCACGGTTTCCTGTAAAAAAAAATGATTTTTTTTCTTTTTTAAAAGGTAAATCTACATCACTCATAAAACAAAATAACAGTTTATTTATGTTTCCTCATGCTGCACAAACTCACCGCAGCTCTGTTTTTGCTGAGTTATAATCAATGAAATCAACACCATGTTGAGATGAAATATGTCATTTATTAAAAATGACGAAAATAAGAAATATATATACATAAACATGATAGGGGATCAGACCAAAAGGTATTCACACAATACATGTCAATATGCTGATCCCCTAAATTTACAGATAAACAATATTTGCAAAAAATATAAAAAAACAGTAAGTATACAGCAAAAAGATGGCACATCAAAAATAAATATGCCAGTAAAATTAAAATATATAAATGCAAAATAAGGTAGGAAAGACTGGGGTGGTGGTGGGTGTGCCAAATTTTTTGTTGTTATCAGTAGCATAGATGAGGCGAGAATGACCCAACGCTGACTGGTCAGCTACCGACAGCATCAAAACACGTGACCATGATGGTCATTTCTGATTGGCTATTAGCTTACATAGGGGTAAGGTTTGACCATGGAAAATTTTGGAGTTGTGTAACAAGTAGCCGAAACTGAAGAAATGGGGAAAATTGCATAACGTGCACCTGACACCTGCAAGGCATGGGAGAATTCAAGCCAATGAAGAAAAATCAAAATATTGAGATTTAAAACAATACAAAATACAATATTTACTTACTTACATTTAAACAAAAGAAAACTAAACAGCATTCAACACATAAATGAAATTATTTACATAATTGTTGTTTTATGTTTCCTCATGCTGCACAAACTCACCGCAGCTCTGTTTTTGCTGAGTTATAATCAATGAAATCAACACCATGTTGAGATGAAATATGTCATTTATTAAAAATGACGAAAATAAGAAATATATATACATAAACATGATAGGGGATCAGACCAAAAGGTATTCACACAATACATGTCAATATGCTGATCCCCTAAATTTACAGATAAACAATATTTGCAAAAAATATAAAAAACAGTAAGTATACAGCAAAAAGATGGCACATCAAAAATAAATATGCCACCAAATGTGATTGCCAAACATAATTGGCAATCACATTGTGCCATTCAAGGTGAGGTTGCGCACAAAAATGCAAATGTAAACAATATTTCACTGGTTTATACATGATGAAAATGCACATTAAGCTATACCAGCAGTTAAACACTGACCTGGCATCTGTTTCTGCAAGAATTGCTTTACACAAAAAGATTGTGCATATGAAATACATATAAACATGAAAGTCATCCGGTGGATGTAACCAGCAGGCAGTGGTTATATTAATTCGAAAAGAAAATGATTGTCAACATGCACCTAACAGCTTACATATACAAATAATGAAAATAATCATTTCACAATGAAAATAATCATTTCACAAAGACAAATAATTAAAACAAATTAACAATACAGCAGTTAAACACTGACCTGTACTGTGGAAATGTAACTACATCTACATATATACACCTTATAAGACAGGTACTGAGATCAAAAGAGAGAGACATCCCTCCTTAATACTTGTAACATCTCTAAATAAAATTTAAGCAGCAGTTACACACTGACCTGCACCTAACTTAATAGCAGCAGTTAAACACTGGCCTGCAACAAACTTAATAGCAGCAGTTAAACACTGTCCTGCAACAAACTTAATAGCAGCAGTTAAACACTGACCTGCAAACTTACACGTAACCAGTAGTAGCAGCAGTTAGACACTGACCTGCCCTGGGATGGACTGATATAGAAAAAAAGGGGGGGGGGAGGGAGGAGGGAATCCTATATTTTATTACAACTGAAACGATTTAATTCTAATATATCTGTGCAAAACATTCGAGTTCCATCTGCCTAAATGTTGAATGAAAGTCTCAGAATACCCTAACTGTGCAGCATGCGTTGCTGCACCTATACGAAAACTGTGCCCCTTATAACGTTTGGGATCCAGACCTGCAAATGCTATTGCTTTTGAAAGTTCACTACTGACATAAGAATATGTGACTGGAGTACCATTGACAAACTGGAAGAAGGGGCCTGACACATGTGGAAATAATGATTTATACTTATAAAGATTATGCACTGGACAAAATTGTGAACTAGGGTTGGCTTGAATAGATATAATGATGGGCTCATTTTTCTGTTGAGATTTATGGTGCCTAAGAACAATTTGAACTGCTGAAGGACTGCATTTTTCTCCACTGAAAATAATGTCTTGTATTTGCAGAACTTTGTCCTTATCTGCTAGAGTTTTTGAGATAACTTCCCCTAAACGCAGAAATGCATTAAAACATAAAAGGAAAAGGGCTTGCAAAAGAACCTGATTTAAAGCTTGTGGAACAGTAAAGACTAGTGCAGCCAAAATTTTGTGCATGATATTTTTTGTTATTGGCAATCTAGCATCCTGAGTGGGTAGTAGCTTGTGACAACCTTTCAGTAGTTTGCGCACAATAAAAGTTTGAGTTGGATCTGGCAAATTGATAATTTTGTGAACATAACCTAATGCCGATATATGTGAGGCAGTGCTGCTAGAACTGTATTGTTTCTCAAAAAGAAAACCAATGAAGTTACATATGTCTGTAATAGGCAATGGTAGAGATACTGGATCTTTTCTGTAATTGAGGAAAAGTTGCCATGAATGTCTATAAGCATATCGTGCAGGGGGTGATAAAGCTGCCACAAGGACTGAACGAGTTGAAGAGGTCAAATCTGTAATAGGTGTGCCGGAATGACAGTTGCCTGTTGTTCTAAGTATGGTGCTACCTGCCGTGCTTTCTGAAATTGCAAACGTGACAAACTGTCAGCTACCACATTGTATTTGCCTGGAATATGCTTAGCTTTAAAGAAGATATTATTTGATAGACAAACCAATACCAAACGGCGAAGTAGATGCATAAGATTTTTTCTTTACTCGACTGTTTATTTATCACCTCCACCACAGCCATATTGTCTGACATAAAAAGAATTTTTCTATTTGCCATTTCTGACCCCCAAATTTCTAGAGCTAATACAATTGGAAACAACTCCTTCACTGCAATTTGCATGGGAAAAAGAGACTCTGTCCATTCAGCTGCAAACCATTTACATCCAAACACAGCAGCAAACCCTAATAAACCAGAAGCGTCTGTAAATAATCGGGTGATATCTGATGATTCCCATTCCTCTGGAAAAAGAACTGATTTTCCATTAAAATTTTCTAGGAAGTGCAGCCACATTGCCAAATCTGCTCTTACCTCCTTATTAAAACGGATAAGGTAATGAGGTTTCACAATCCCTATTGTCAAATCAATTAACCGTCGTAAAAAAGCCCTACCAGGAACCACTACCAAACATGCAAAGTTTAACACTCCAATTAATGACTGAAGTTCCCGTAATGCAACCTTCTTCCTGTTTATAAACTGACGCACTAAATTTCTACATTTCTCGAGTTTGTCAAGTGGAAGGCGGCTCACCATATCAACGGAATCTACCTCAATACCATAAATAGTAATGCATGTCACTGGCCCGAAGGTTTTTTCCATATTCATTGGAATGTTAATTCTTCCACATAACGACAAAAAGTTGTTCAAATCATGTTTGCATTTCTGTGAGTTTGGAGGCCCAATGAAAAAGAAATCATCCAAAATATGAGACATGCCTGAAGCCTTCAGTTTGTTTAACATTACCCATTGAAGAGCTGTACTTAACTGTTCAAATAATTGACAAGAACTGCTTGCCCCCATTGGCAGACAACGCTCATAATAAAATTGACCTTGCCATGTAAAACCCAAAAGATGATAATCAGACGGATGTACTGGTATAATTCGAAAGGCATCTTTAATATCTGATTTTGCCATAAGAGAACCTTTCCCAAACTGACGTACCAGTGCTACAACAGTGTCAACTGAATCATAATGAACTTCAGAACATTCTTTAGGAATATTTGAATTGACTGAATCCTGGGCTGGAAAAGAAAGATCATGAATAATTCTGTATTTATTTGGTTCAGATTTAGGGACAACCCCCAATGGAGAAGTTTTAAAAAGTGGTAGGGGTGGATGTGTAAATGGGCCTGAAATTCTTTGCCTACTTAAACCTGCATTAATATAGTCATCTACAATCTCTGGGTGTTCATAGGTTGATTTCTGATTATGAGGAGGGTGAATGGAAGGGGTCTTGACACACCCTAAACGGAAACCAAATGTGAACCCTGAAACTAGAAAATTCAGTTTTTCTTTTTCATAACCTTCTAACTCACTTTTGAGTTGTACTGGGTTTACTGGAGTTGGAAGGGCTACTGCCATTTCTAATTGAGGAGGATGAGTTGGACCGTATGCCTGTACATTGAACTCGGGGGTGGGGACCATGACAGTCTTGGCAGGTATGGGAAAATCTACAAGGGTGGGAGTTACACTTTTGCCCTTTGTTGTACGCGAAGCAGTATTTGGGACGAAAAGGCTGTCGTTTGCCACTACTCCCTTGCAATTTGTTTGGAGACCTAATTCCCACAGAGGCTGCCTTTAACCGTAACTCTGTTACTACTCTTTCCCATGGTAAGAGGGATGTCTCCCTAATTTTCCTAAAAGACTCATCATAAGTCCTCCATGCTTGCTCACCATGGAGCTTGCTTATGTCACGAATAGTAAACATATATTTCAACAGATTGCTTGCCTCCTGAGGGAATTTCTGTAGATATATGGTACTAAATATCAAAAATGCATCTGTCCATTGATGGATTGTTATTGGATTTTTATTTGATGATGTTTGCTGCAGTTCAATTTTACCAGCTTTTACCATAATTGAAAGGGGCTCTTCGTTTGAGTTGGGTAAAAGAAGTTTCAGGTCAACAAATTCATTATTCCAAATTTTAAGTTTTAATTTGGAGGAAACTGTAGCCCCAAGAGGCACGCAATCTGTTAATTGAATTTGTGGATTAGTGTCAGAATTACTGCCTGCTGGCTCACCTGTAAAAACATTGTCCAGAAGTGCACCAAGTGCAGAGGCTGGGACCATGGCACTAGCTTGTGGGGTACCATTTGTAACACTCGTAGTTGCTGCAGGGTTAACTAGCTCACTGCTGGACTGTGGCTCCTTGTTTTGGATAACTGATGGGGATGCTTCCCCATGTTGGCTCGCGGTTGCCTCAGCAAGTCCATTCCCCTCACTGGATGTTAATTTCTGTTGTTCAGTTAATATGTGTTTTGCCAGTAGTGTGTAGTCAATGGTTGGCAGAGCACTCTGCATCACAGTCTCTGTCTGTTGAGTAGGAGTCACTCGCTTTCGCTTTCTCCCTGTGCTGGAGGAACTGGACTGCTCATCTGCTGCGAGTTCCCCTTTTTTGCTTCTTTGCTTTGGTGGCATTGCTTCTGAAGAAGAGAATATTATTAAAAAACAAAACTCTACAGATTTAGTTTCATCTCACAATGATAATGGCAATACATATTTCAAGTATATGAATGCCAGCTGTGAGATTGTGAACTTGCAATTTTTTAGATAGAGTGGGGAATACTGATTCCTAAGCGAAGACAAAATAGTTATCCAAAACAGGTTAGACACATTATGGCACAATTACAGAGAGTCTAATTGACGACATCTGAGTACCTAGCTAACAGCTGTACTCTATTACATGATGAAAATCATTTACCAAATGTCTATAGTTTAACTCCCCACAAAATCCCTGTATTGAATAACTCCTATAACCAAAACTATGTAAATAACAGAGTAACTTTGACTCGTATTACATATTCAAATTAAACTAAATAAAATTATGTAAAGAAATCTGACCCCAAAATATCTGGGTAACTCTAACCCACACTAAACATGTAAATAACAGAGTAACTCAGACTCCTAATTACATGTTACATTAATCAAAAAATATATGGGTAACTCCGACCCACACAAACATGTAAATAACAGAGTAACTCTGACTCCTAATTACATGTTACATTAATCAAAAAATATATGGGTAACTCCGACCCACACAAACATGTAAATAACAGAGTAACTCTGACTCCTAATTACATGTTACATTAATCAAAAAATATATGGGTAACTCCGACCCACACAAACATGTAAATAACAGAGTAACTCAGACCCCTAATTACATGTTACATTAATCAAAAAATATATGGGTAACTCCGACCCACACAAACATGTAAATAACAGAGTAACTCAGACTCCTAATTACATGTTGACTTTATTCAAACAAAATAAATGGGTACACTCTGACCCACACCTGTTGACATGAGACTAAATATATATTGGGTTTTACTAAAACTGCCCCAACATGTAAATAAAAGAGATACACTGACTCCTAATTACATAATGAACTCAGATCATTTTATGAATAGTATGTGTAATTCTCTGATTCTGACCTAGAAGGCATCAAGAACTATCTAACTGGTTTTACAGGGCAATAACAACAACTAAAATTAAAACATGTGTCATACTTGATTGTTATATATTCGACTACCTATTATACCTGCCTTTTGTGTGCAAACTGAGGTATCTGTCTTTTAATTAGGCACAATTGCTATTTAACTCTTCATCTTCAAATGTCACATTGAGGGCATGTCTCAATCCAACACAATATTATCGTGTATGTTTGTTGTTTAAATTGTGACATAGAAATACTTTAGTGCTCATAAAATAATGAACAATATGCAAGGCAAAAATTATACTGGCCTTAGTAATTTAGAAAGCAGGATCACCGCATTCCTGACACTGCGGCGATATTTCCTCATAGGCTGGTCCTCAGTAGGGGTACAGAGCAGATGGACACCATCTGGTCCTAGATATTGCAGGTCATTCCAGAACCCTCTATGTCCCCAATAATGAATACCACATAGGGGGTCGCTCATCTGTTTCACATGTAAATTGATTTCAACCACTGTGGCATTGAAATCTCTGCATGATGCGAACTGCATACGGCGAATTAATTGACCTATAATAATCAATTTCACACCTACTCCGTCACGAAGATATTGTGCAACCGAAATAATATCCATGGCTAATTTTCTGCTATTCGTGGAAGTGGAAATATCATTCTCGCCGATTTGTAAAAACACAACATCCGGGACAGTGTCAAAACACAGAAATTCGGAGCGGGAATCACATTTACTCAATTTCAGTCCTCCTTTCCCTCTGAATGTAACATGATATTGTTTTGGATCCAAACCCAAATTTTCTGTCCCCTTTAGAACACAATATTCCTTTAGTCTTCTGATGTAAGAGTGTCCGATAACAAAAACGTTCATTGCGGTCATGTTTACAAAACACACTGTACCCCAACCGGAACCAGCTCAAAATGATAGATAATCGCATTCACTAAAAACAACAAAAATGCGTTGCAACACACCTTCTACTCAGGATAAAAGCAGGAATCTTTCTTCTTACTGTGCCAAATTTTTTGTTGTTATCAGTAGCATAGATGAGGCGAGAATGACCCAACGCTGACTGGTCAGCTACCGACAGCATCAAAACACGTGACCATGATGGTCATTTCTGATTGACTATTAGCTTACATAGGGGTAAGGTTTGACCATGGAAAATTTTGGAGTTGTGTAACAAGTAGCCGAAACTGAAGAAATGGGGAAAATTGCATAACGTGCACCTGACACCTGCAAGGCATGGGAGAATTCAAGCCAATGAAGAAAAATCAAAATATTGAGATTTAAAACAATACAAAATACAATATTTACTTACTTACATTTAAACAAAAGAAAACTAAACAGCATTCAACACATAAATGAAATTATTTACATAATTGTTGTTTATGGTTTATGGTTTCATCTATCGTGGATAAATATTTGTTTTGTCTATTTTTCAATAGATCTTTATTCGTAATAAATATAATAGGGTTATCTTTCTTTGTGTTTGCATATTATCCAAACTGTCAAATTATCAATTAAAGTTCTTAACAAAAGGATTTTATTTAAAAGGAAATACGGCGGCGGGTCTGACCGGTCGGCAGGGGATGCTCACTCCTCCATGGCACCTGATCCAACCGCTGATGCTTTGGAGGTCCGTATTTGCTCTGCTCCTATTTTGTATTGTTAAATGGACTTTTGAGCTTGAATACTGTTGGTTATCTCCATATATTTCATTAACAAAAACGCAAAATATTTTCGAGGCCGAAGTTTCAATATAATTATTTTTAAAAGATTCATTCTGCACATGGTAAACCAACCAGTCAGACGTAAGTTAGATCGAGGTCACGTTTAAAAATAATTGTATTCACAAGTACATTCGCACATAGACACCACGTCATGTGTAGTGATATTCAACAGGTCAATTGAGGTTAAATCAAGGTTAACATCGTCATAACAATGAGAGGGACAAGTTTTTGTTTTGTTTTGTTTTGTTTTTTATCTATTTAGGCTAAACAAATCACTCAAAGAATGCTTGATTTTTGTAACATGAATGATTTACTTGTGAATGATTTCATAAGAATATATACATCAAATACTGATATTAAAAATATTGAGGTATCAAATAACTTCATGAATGAAACATGAATGAAATAAAAATTGAGTAAAACTGAAACATTTTCTGAGTTTAAGATACTCGTATATAATACACTTGCAAAATCTATGATATGTTGGAAGCATGTTAGAAGAGTGATAAATATAACAGACTCTCTCGTATTACTAAAATAGTTGTAATCCAGTATCAAATCAGGTAAAGAAAAGATCAAAAACTCTTCTGGGTTCCAGCTCTTGTTTTATGCCTTATGTCACCTGATAGCACAAATACAATACTTATGAAATAGTTTGTGATCTGTTCAAAGAAAACTGAAATGTTGTTATTTCCCTTTAAGGGATAATACTGAAAGATGAGATTTTTTTTTATATTTGTATGTATTATGTAATTAGATGCATACAATGCTATGAAACGAACGGTGAGGAAACTAATATATACAACTGATCGATTAATTATTAATTGAATGATGTAAAACGTGTCAAACTCATACTTCAATTCTATTTCCTGTTATTAAAAAGTGTTTTATTTGCAATAAATAAACATTATCATACACAAAAGCATCCGTCTGTTACAAGTCCTATAAATAGTACATAATGGTAGCATGAACAAGGAACAATGTTGGTAAATTGGCCTACTTCTAAAAATAGATTTGGAATTCCCTGCTTCTAAAAAGCTAAACTTATTCTAAAGCAAGAGAATTCTTTATTATAAACAAACGAAAACACTCACTTACATTAATTCACTGGAGTTATAAATATTACAATTAATAATTAAAATAAGATAATCTATGAAATTCTGCATGTAAATTCTATGTCCCACATTACATGGAGCAGACTCGTGAGCAAAGAGTTAGGCTTTGAATAAGAATTGGATATCCAAGTAAGAGTCGTATATTGTATTCAAGGAAGTGTTAAACCAGGAGCAAACTGAAATGTTCTCTCGTATTCTCTTAATAAAATTACTCTTACGATAGCCTGGAGGCAGGGGAGGAAAAAATGAGAAAGGTAATGAAGAAAACAGGATTATGGAGGACAGAAGAAGAGAGGTTGAAGATAACTTAATCCCTGATAATTCCAAACGATTTTATCCCCCCCCCCTCAAAAAAATACATATTTATTATTTAATATATTTATATCTTCCCTCTATCAGCTTTTGGAATGAATTTCCACAATTCCACAATTTCATATTACATGCAAATGCTGTTGTTTTCATTTATATATCATGTTTTGGGACAAACACTGGTATCTCGGAGAAAATTCAACGGGCTAGCGTATTGGTAGCTAATTTATCACCGTTATCAATCTCTTTGTATAACTGTACTGTTTTAAAATCACAATTTTAAGATCTCACAACATATCTCTTTTTTAATACAGGCTAAGAAAGCCAATGTCCATATCCACAAGCGTCTCTTGATGGTTCCACTTTTGAGAGTGAACAAGCATGAAGACTCAGAATCCGTCAAATGCATACATTATTTGCAGAAGATTTTAAAAAGGTAACAGTTTCCCAATGCTTTTAACATCTTGCAAATGCCAGGGAAATGAAGATTGAAAAGTGGATTATTTGTACTGGATCCCTCTTCATTGGTGATATTTTCCGTCAAAGAAACTTTGCAACTACAATTGTGAGAAACAAATTGCTTTGAATATTTATGTTACTGTTATGTTATGTTATGTTATGTTATGGTGTAAAAATGAAGTGATTTCATTATTCTCTTACCCTTCGTTTACACTTTTAAGCAACCCTTCACAGCAAATTTCTGTCAAAGACGAATACATCTGTGTTCCGCAACATTTAGATTCCTTTGCATTGATAACAGGATAAATGATACCTGGAAATGATTTTGATTTGTGAAACTAGCCGTAAATGATGAACAAATTCTTCAGTCACATCATGACTATCAAGGTTTTACCAGTTAATAGGTTACTAACTGCTCATGAATACCACTCAAAAAAAATCATTCGTTTAATTTCTTT